GGTTGATAATTAAGATTAACCATTCCAACTCTAGCTCTTGTCAACTTTATACTTAGACACATCCCTTTAAGCCATAACCTTGTAATCCTTGTCCCCATAGACACATGGGCATCTCATGTCATCTCATGTCACAAAATGAACTCAGTCTAACTTAAGTTCCCACAGTCTTTAATAGTTCCAACACTGCTCAAAAATTTTAGTTTTGCATGCAGAGTTTTTTTCTAAAATCCAGTCAGTTTCTTAACTATGAGCTCCTCTCAGTCAAACAATCAAACAAGAAACAAATTTACATACTTCCAACATACAATGGCACAGAATAAATAAATATTCCCTTTCCAAAAGGGAAGAGGGGGACATATCAAAGACAGATAACACAAAAGTAAAGCAAACTTCCAGCACGGTGATCAGCAAATCATGTAGTTCTATCTTCAGTATCTAGGGCTCATAACAGAGTCATCTGGGCTCCCAAGGACTGGGGTGGCCTCTCTTTTCTCTAGCCTTGCTGCCTAGAGCACACATAGCCTCTCCCTTGAGCCAGCACCACTCCCCGCATGCAACATTACACAGTGTGTATTCCTTGATTCTGGTATCTCTAACATCCTGGAACCATCATTGTAACTTAAGCTTTACCTTTACAACTTCACACAGTAGCTCCTTGGAGTCTCATTACAGGATTCCAACTCTTTTGCATGGTTCCTTGCCTCAGCAGCTCTCTGAAATTGTGATTCAAGATCCAGGACCACCTCAGTTTGCACCTTTATGCTTGGAGTACTATGTGGACAATGCTTCCAAGTTCTCTTGCTAGCCAACTATGGAGCCTGGCCTCCTCGGACTTCTGTTGCAGCAGCCTCTGTGAGTCTCTGTTTTTTGACTCAGGGAAAACACTTTCCTAGACAACTGTTTTTGATAAGGGAAACCCTTTCTGTGGTGTTCTTAGTTTAGGCTCTCTTCTTTCACATGAATTTTTGTTTTTGCAACACGGAGCCTTCCATCTGTAAGGTCTGGGAGCCCCTATCACGTTGTAGCAATGCAGTACACTGGGTATTTCTTTAATGGTGCTAATCTCTTTAACAATTATAGCTGTTTGGAAACTTGCCTCATCTGCAACTGCTGGTTTGTTTGTTTGTTGGTTTTTTTCTTTTTCTTCCATATTTGCTACCTGTCATTGCAGACCTAGATAAGCAGAGTGAGCAGTAATTATGATACAGCCAGTATGATTTGAAATTTCCTATGCCAAATAAGTTAATCCATTATTATTATTATTTTTATCTTAGCCTCACTCAAGTTCTTAGGACACAGTCATAATGCGGCCAGATTCTTTCCCAGACTACAACATTAGTGGCCTCCAGTTCAGTTCCAAGTAGAGACCTTGTTCTCCTCTGAAACCTTATGAGTAAGCCTCTAAGGTCCTTGTATCTGTTAGTATTGTGGTCTCTCAAACTTCCACTACAATGGCCTACTAACCTCTGCTAATAGCATTCTAGAGATTTTTCTAGCATAAAGTTCCAAATTCGTCTACACTTCTCTTGAAAACACTTTCCAAAGACCTATAACCACATGGCCAAACTTATCACAGAAAATGACCCCTCTTGGTACTATTTTTTTTTTTTTTTGCATTAGTTGTTTTCTTTGTTTCTGTGATAAAGACACATGAAAAGAGCAACTTGAGGAAGGATATGTTTATATGGGCTCACAGCTAGAAAATAAACTACAGCATGGCAGCGATGACATGGCAGCAAGAGCCTGAGGTAGCTGGTGAGGTCACTTTCAGAGTCAGGAAGTATAAAGGAATGGATGATGGTATGAAACTCACTTTTATTTTCTACTTTTTATCCAGTTCAGGACTTCAGCACATGGAATGGTGCAACCCACATTTAGGGTAAAATTTCTCTATCTCCATTAACATAGTCAAGAAACTTCCTTATAGACATATCCAGAGGTTTCCATGGCCACTCAACATCCCATTGAGTTTACAATCAAGCTTAACAATCACAGTAGGGATTTACATATTTAGGAATTTGTTCAATTCTTCTAGATTTTCTAGTTTATTGGAACATAAGGTTTCAAAATATTCTCTGCTACTCCTCTTGAATTCAGTTATATCTATTTGTTTTAATGTCACTTTTGGTTTTAAATTTTATTAACTTGAATATTTTTTCTTTCTTTCTTTAGCTGTTTGTCTTATTTAACTTTACAAAGAATTAATGATTTATTGACTACTTGTATTTTTCTTTTCATCTCCATTTCATTAATTTACACCCTGATCTTTATGATTTATTTACATCTCCAAATTTCAAGTTTGGCTTGTTCCCATTTTTCTAAGACCCCGAGTTGCATCATAGGTTATTTATTTGAGAGTAGCCTCATCTTATATATAGGTGCTCATAAACTTCCCTCTGAGAACTATAAACAAAGTTTCTTCAGGGATTTCTCAATTGGGTTTCAGAGTTGAAGGTTGATCCATGGAAATGAGGCCAAATTTGAGCCTTTTACATGTTGAACTTAGGTTCTCAGTGGGGTTGGGGGGGGGCATGAGGACAATTCTTGCATAAGGGAGACCAGGACAGCCTGTGCACAGCAAAGATTCAATTCACATTTAGTTGGCAATTTAGAGCTATGAGGTCTTCATGAGGTTGTCCGTTAGAGTAATTATACCTCTGCCAAGATCTGTTAGTTCTTTCTGAAGAGAATAGACTGAAGCTGCTGTTTCAATTTTTGGGTAGATTGGTGCTTATCTTATCTAACTAATAACATTTATTATGGACATTAAATCTTTAGCTGATTAGGCATTGCTAAGACCTGCCTTTGTTTTTGTTTGGAAACATCATCTTGCTATGAATCTAAAACTGGCCTCCAACCCACAATTCTCCTGCTTCAGCCTCCTGAATGCTTCCATTTATAGGTGTAAACAGCCACACCTATTTCTATTTTACATTTTTCCAAACCATGCTTATAATGAATGTATTTGTGACAGCATTATTGTGATGTTAATATAACTGGAAAAGTAAAAAATATTTAACCATCAGGAAATGAACAGCCAAATAATATACAGTACATTCCAACTGCAGTATACTGTTCAGGTGCTAAAAGAAATATCTGTGTGTATGTAGAATATGAAAAGAGGACTATACATATGATATGGAAAAGAGTGAAATGTAAATATATGTGTGTAGATAAACATATGCACGTATACAATGTTCTATTTTTGTTCAGAAGAATACTTTGCATACATGCATAGCTTATTTAACTGTTTGTTAATATTTGTAACTTCATATTGCTTTCTAGCAGTATGTTAAAGACTCATCATGTCTAAGTGGCCTAATCTCATTTTTAGCATAATTCTATAAAGCAGGTAATTATTTTACCTGCTGCAGAGCTCTGGAGACCCACTGTGGGCTGCATAGTATGTTGGAGAAACAACCGAGGCTCCAGCCCAGAAGCCTGCACTTCCAACTGCCATACTCTGTGATGTAATTTATTATCATTTATTCTATGATAGAACATGAGGCATCCTTGTATGTAGTGGCCATGTTGTATGCAGCTCACATATGAGCTAGGCTGAATAAGTTGCTTGCAAGATTCTTCCCTCATTCTGAATTGGTGTTCAGGCTTCAGAAACCTCCTGCACACACTTCTGAAAGTTCTACTTCTCTATAAAGGATATCTTCTAACTAGCACCCTCTGACCCATGATGTTATTACTCATTTTGGAGTTCAAAGGAGAGTTGGCTTGTTTTCTGTCTTCTTGCTGGATTTAAGAACTTTGGTGAATTCTTGATTTAGACTTCAAGTCACCCTTGAAGCAAATTTATAACATCATTGTTACAGTTTTAGCTGCTAGGGTAACCTAGGTCTACAGTCCAAATTAAACATTAGCTTATACTGTGTCTAGGCTTGAAAGCAATGTATCCAAAAGAACTTTACAAAGAGACAGTGCTGTTGAAATAATTTAAGTACAAACAGGAAAGTTCTGTGCTTGCAGTGAGAAGGCCATTTGATCTAAAATCCCAGTCTGATTCTTCATTTGTCTGGCCCTTCCCAGTAGCCCTTTTTACTCCCACTTATAGCAATCATGTGCCTAAGCAAGTCAGCTCCCTCTTTGTTAAGTGCTTTTGATGGTGTGTATACACAAGCTGTCTCCTAACATTCCATATCGATTTCATATAGTTTGAATTCCCTAGAGCAACTGTGTTCACTAACTAACCTCAAGGTTTGGAACACTAGAATTTGTGCCAGGAAAAAATGTTTTAAGTGCTTGCATGAATGCAGAGGAGGGGGTTTTAGTCACTAAGATTATTTTTTGGGGGCCATCGCTTCCTCCTACCTTGTGCTTCCCACAGTCCAACTTGTATGCACAAAGTTTTGGTTGGTTACTTTTTATTGCATTCTAGAAGGAACTGGTTTCTCACCATCCTCTGTGATTTCAATGCCCTGTTTTTCAAAGATTGTAGGTCCGAGAGTGGGAGAAAAGCTGGGAACAAACACTATCATTTATGACATAGCTGAATAAGGATATCCTCAATCCTGCTTACTCCTGTTCTCAGGCAAAGCAAAAAGTAAGCAGGGAGTTGTAGGAACAGGGCGTTGATGAGTGGAACAGAACTGAATACATGGAAGTGCATCACATTGCATGATACTAGACTTGAATACCAATTTCCACATAATGGATCTGTTCCTCAAAATTATGTTTTTAAAAAGTAATGATCTTTGTTGCCTGGATCACCCTCCACCACCATCACCAAACACCTTGCTAGTTAATTGTTTGCAGGCCTCTTAGAGACATTGATGGTTTGGGTGATTTCTTGTGGCAGAAAAAATGCCGGCTTCAAACGCTATTCCTCTAACTAAAATGCATCTGTTGTGTAACGCTGCTACAGCTGGTTCAGAGTACAGGTGCTTGCTCTTGGCTCCTGCTCGGCCCTGCGGAGGTAGGGGGTGAGCCCAATCCAGATCAGGTGTGGGGGAGGAGAGGCGCACTCACAGCAGAGACCACAGTGTTGCAACCTTAGCCCATACCAAATCTCTGGGAGAGTTTCCGGCTGCCTGTATGTCTCTGTGAGTAACCCCAGGCCCCCAACTCTCCAGAGTGGGATGTTAACCCTGGAACCACTCAGAGATCAGGTAGGTAGCTGAAGGAAGTTTGAGAAGCACTCTCTGTCTGAGAGTCTACACATCGTTCTTCGCCTTTCAAGGACTACAGGCTTCCTATTTGATACATCAGAACTGAAGGCTGAAATTCCTCAAGGTAAGCAGACTCCCCTCCAGGAAATGGACTCCTCCAATGTCCTTACATGATTATGCAGGCACTTTCACTTTTCCATATATAGGAGTCACCCCGGAGCAAACTGTGACCGGCAGAAGGAAGTGACACATCTGTATTCCATCCACTCTCTGCCTCTTTGCCCATCCTTACCCTCTTCTCACACGCTCATAGGCACTTAGGCAGAAGCCATCTCTGTGACTCTGCCAAAGACCACCCTGTTGGTTTTGTAGGGAGAGGAAAAAAGAAAAAAAAAAAAAAGAATCTGCAGGCAAAGTTACAGCATTGAAGTTTTCACCTTGGAAAAGTGAAGGCGAAAAGGGTGGACACAATGAATGGACCTGTGGATGGCCTGTGTGACCATTCTCTAAGTGAAGAAGGAGCCTTCATGTTTACATCAGAATCTGTAGGAGAGGGGCATCCAGGTAAGTAGGTTGTTCTGAGCCCACAGGCAAGCCTGTCATCCCCAACCTGTGCCCAGAGAGTCACTTTTACTAGATACCTTAGAAACAAGGTTCATCAGTTGCTGTAGACTCTCTCTGAAAGAGTGTGAGCTAGTTGTAAAGCTGTCACCCATCATGAAGCCTATGTCCATGATGCTGCCACTCAGCATCTCAGAAGCAAGGGCTGGTTGCTATATACTATGTGTATTAGCAGAACTAAATGAAATAATATACTTTTGAGTAAAGCTTTCATCTATTTTCAGTGACCTATTAAACTCAATGGAGGATAGTCCTCAAGTGGGAACAAGTTTTACACATAAACCATGCATAGATTAGAAAGGAATAGCCCTGCATTCTAATTGGTGTTGAGACAGAGTTCCAGACTGCAAGGATCTCAGAGATGCTTTCTGACACAACTATAAACTTCCTAAAGATCAGTCATGTCAAATAACTGTTTCACAGGGGTCATCAAAGACCACTGGAAAACACAGATACTTACATTGCAACTCACAACAGTACTAAAAGTACAATTATGAAGTAGCAAAGAAATTTTTTCTTTTGGATTTTCGAGACAGGATTTGTCTGTGTGACAGCCCTTGCTGTTCTGGAACTCACTTTGTAGACAAGGCTGGCTTCAAACTCACAGAGATCCACCTGCCTTTGACTCCTGAGTGATGAGATTAAAGGCATGCAACACCACACCTGGTTAAGAAAATAATTTTATCGTTGGGAGATGGGGAGTCACCACAACATGAGAAACTGTATTAAAAAGTTGTAGCATTAGGAAGGTTGAGAACCACTGCTCTAGAGGAACATTCAAGCATTGTTTTGGTTCTTTAAAGGGGGATGGATTGTAATGTAGGGAAGCTAGAGATAATTCTCAGTAACAGGACCATGAGTCAGAAGTTCTGATTATAGGACATAGGTTGTTACACTTTGGAGTACAAAAGCATCACCCTTCAAGGCTTGATAAAGGCAAGGGCTGGGACTTAACTCCCACAGTGTCCAGTTGGATAGGTCTTGGTAGATCCTTAAGAATTCTAATTTCTAACAGCTCTAGGAGGTGCTGCTTCTACTAGGGTGGGAATATCACATTGAGAAACACTGTTCTGGGAGACCTCTGGGGTTAGGCACACTGATTTGAGGACTTAAGCACTTGTTCGAATTTATTTTGAGGGTTTACAGTGTGTGTTGACTTATCACCAAGTCCAATTTTTCCACCGTTCTTCTTTCTCCAAGAGCTTTAACTTGAAACTTCGTTTTGGACTTTTCAATACACTACACCTGTGTGCCTTATCCCATGGCTCTCAACCAAAGGAAATCCTGGCTGTCTTCTTCCAAAAGCATTTTGTTATGTCTAGGAACATTTTGGATTGTTACATCCTAGGGCTTGGAGGCAAGGTGCTCTTGGAATCTATTGGGTAGAGACCAGACATGTAGCTAAACATCACACAATACATGAGAGAATCTCCACCACCAAGAATTGTTTGGCACAAAATGTCAATAGTGTGACTATTGAAAAATCTTGGATCAGATCATTTAGTGTGAGGCTTCATTCTATAATAAATAGATGTTCTCATCATATTTCTTTATAGATCAATTTCCAGATCTATGTATGATTTTAGATACATCCCTGGTGCCTAACACATACTGGGCAACTCCATAGTTTCTGAAAGTCATCTGTATGTTAGAAGAACCTACTTTGCCCAGAGAAAGTGAGTTCTTTGGCACCCAGTTGCTACTTGTCTCGAGCGTGGCCCATTGTGCATAGCAGCAATGTGCTTAGTAGACAGAGCATGAAAACTTCTGTCGGTCCACTGACTGTTTTGCCTACTTCGTGGTCTCACTGTCAAATTTGTCTCATTTGCCATTCACTTTCCACTGTACAATAAGTGTCCAAGTAAGTTGGTTTCCTCTAGTGCTCAGTGACCTGTTTACCATCCATGGCTGAATTCTCCCACATCAGAAAGATAAAATTTACGTTTCTTATTAATCTTCCAAGAGAGCTACCATTGACTGTCTTAAACCTACCGATGACAGAAACTTTGAAAGCCTGAGCAGACTTCTCAGAAAGAATCCCTTCCAGGAAGGTAGTTCAGTGGTATAGAGCTTGCCTGGCATGTGCAAGTCCCTAGATTTGGTGGCTTCACCCCCGACAAGAAAAAAAAGATTTTAACTGTAGTCTCAATGCTTGGAATCTGGAGAAAGAGGGTTAAGACATCAAGATTACCCTTGGCTATATAGCAAGCTCAAGGCAAACTTCATGTGTGACTCTGTCTCAAAAATCCCAGATAGAAGTAGGAGGGAGGGGAGAGAGAGGCAGGAGGTCCCTCAGGGATTTAGGAATTATCAATCAGCTATCTTGATGAGCTTGTTGGACTCTAACTTCTCCCTACAGTTGTATTACCCTACATAGTGGTACCTGTGTGAGCTGGACCCTTTAAATAAATTGGATGTCCAGATATCTGTCTGTAGTTAACCTATGAATAGCTTCTAGGCATCCTGGATGGTCAGCATTGGCCACCATGTAATTTATTTTAGGATGTCAGGAGGCCTTTATTGATAAGAGTGGCAGAAGGTATGGACTCACATGTACCTGGATTTAAAATCAGCATCTGCCACTGACAGAAAGATGGATAGAACAATTCACCCTGTGTTTCATGGTCGTTTCTGAAGGAAAAAATAGAAAGTTTACATTTAAAGGCAAATTAATCAATATCTTAGTATTTACTTTTGAGAGCTAAACTTCTTGACTCAGGGCCTGAATTCTCAAAAATAATTTGTTGGGGCAGGAAAGATGCTCATGGGTAAGAGCACTCACTGCTTCTGAAGAAGACTGGGATGTGGTTCACAGCATTCACTCCAGCTTCAGGGGACCCAACATCCTCTTCTAGATGCCATGGGCACCTGTGCTCCCATGTGCACATTCTTCCACATAGATTACACACACGAATATACACAATTAAAAATAAATCTTTACAAAAACACTCTTAAAGAGCAGATTCTCGGGGAATTTTGAACATTATGTGAAAGACAATATTCACAAAATAGGAGTCTCTCATCTCTTAATTTGTTAATAGACACACTTTAACTGGAAAGCAGAAGTGAATTTGTGCACAATATCACTTGGTGATCTACATGTGAATCCTTTAGAACAAATGACAGAATAACGTCAGTTTCCAGCTCCTGCTGAATCTGTCAGCCCTATCTTAGTCCAGCTCTCAGGACACCTGAATTGCAGGAGGCTGAGTGACCAGAGGAGGATCTGAGAGCTTATATTGATGTTTCGCTGAGCAACAGTGGTGCATATGGCTTCCCTTGTGGTGTTCTCACAGATGGTACCATCTGCCTGGGCTTGTGTTTTGCATCTGATTGATTGTATCTATGGAGCCTTCAGTATGGTATTTATCTGGTCTTACCACTCAATACCTAATCTTACTGATGCTATGAAGGATTTTAGACTATATCTATAACTTTTCTAGATGTTAGAAATAAGGAATAGGTTTGGGGAATGAAAGACTTTTTATCATTATGTGAATTGCTTTGACTCTTAAAAGAGCTTGTTTTGAAATATATTTTCCTTTTAAGAAATTCTATGATTTTATGTAATGCATGTAATCAAAAAATGAGGTAGGAATTAGAAGAAATTATGAGTCCAAAATATTTTTCATTTCTGGGAGCTCATGAGGCTTTACATCTAGCCAAGGAGCTATTATATTGGCTGTTAGTGGCAGCTAAGGGAGGGAAGGTCATTTTTCTTCTGTGATTTAGCCACAGGCAAGTCTGTCATACTTCAGTAAATAATACCACATTCATGCTCATGCCAGCAACCCCAGTCAAACTAAGTGGGTCACTGGAACAAAACAGCAACGTAGTATAAGGGGATCCTAAGAAAAAGTTCAGAGGGAATGGAGGGCCATGAGAGGGTAATGGGATTTGAGCATGATCAAAATATATTATATACACACATGAAACTATCAGAGAATAAGTAAAAATTTCAAAATCTGATAAAATATTTCTCATTTCTGACATTTAAAAAATATCATTTTTATCTTTGATAGGTAGATTTGATAGGCAGACTGATAAAAATGTCAAATTATTTTAGCATTTAACTTTGCCATGCTTAACAATGATGTAATCTTACACTTAGTATTTCTTCTTATCCAGATAAGATCTGTGACCAGATCAGTGATGCAGTGCTGGATGCTCATCTCAAGCAAGACCCCAATGCCAAGGTGGCTTGTGGTAAGAGACAAGCACTCTTTTTGCTGGAGACCTGAGTATGTTGGACAGAAAAGTTCATGGTGGACATAAGACCATAGATTCATACTCGTCAGGCCCAAAGTCAATGTCCTCCTGTCTGCAGGAGATTTCTTCTTTAAGTGACCTTCCTGTGTTGTATCAGAGAGGAAAAACATTTTTAACCATGAAACAGATTCAACTAGAATTTTACATGAGATGTCATCACTACCATAAGTAGCAGAGGGCTGAGTGGGAACATGGCTTCCCTAACACAGGTTTCATTAGGAGTAAGGGAGCCTTTTTCAAAGTTAGATGAATCTCCCAGAGGAAGTGAAGAGCTCAAAATGCTTGAAGCTGTTTAGAAGCTCATTTTGATTGCTCTGTATGTCTGGAATATCCTCTGATTTTCTTTCCTAGCTTGTGGTATGCCTCAGATGTTAAAATAACTTTTGCATCCCATTTACCAGCAACCAAAAACTGCAGTTCCATCAACTGTCCATAACCAAACCAACAGCTTTCCAGAGGGTTATCATTGTTAAATAAAGCACCAAAATCCTTGTCTACATCCATACCCTCCAATGTTTCCTGGAGGTCCATGTAGGCCAAATAACTTTACTGTTGTTTGTGGGATAGGTTTTCCATCATCCAATCTTTGCCTGATAGAAGGGCTTGGCACACAAATCAGCCCTTGACTCTAGAGTCTTGAAGGCCCAGGTCTAACTTCTGACCTTACTAATGGGGCCACAGTGCTACACCAGGATCTTTGCAATAGCTTATGAGGCAAGAGACCTCATTATGGGGACCAGGGTCCACTGTCAAGGTCAGTGCTGGTTTCTCCTCTGCACAGACCTTCCTTCCTTGTCTAGAGACGTCTCAGACCATGTCATGTATGTCAGGTCCCCATGCTACTCTGAGGGTAGTTCTCACACTGATAGCTTTGAAATAAACAGTAGCACTTTCTGTAAATGTCTATCCACACTAGCTTCTTAGTTAGGGCTCTTGCTCCAGTTCTTAAAGATTCCATGAGAGCCTCTGGCAGCAGATATTCATGCAATTCCAGTTTTTAAGGAAAAATTCCTTCTGAGAAAGTTGGTTTGTCTTGATCTTTGGATCAGGATTTCACTCATTATAGCAGAGTTCTGGTATCGTGTGTGTGTGTGTGTGTGTGTGTGTGTGTGTGTGTGTGTGTGTGTGTGTGCGCCCGTCTGTCTGTCTGTCTGTATCACACGCATTCATCGTGCTCATTATGAAAGTTACATTACTTGAGACAGGTTAAGTAGGTTGTTTGAGATAACAGAAGCAGTAAATACTTGGCACGGAACTCAAATATAATTCATTCTTCCCAGAGCTTCATTCTCTGGCAGCATTTGAAGATGCTCAGTGGTTAATGCTGGGGTTGCTCTTTTTGTTGGCACAGTTATTCTTTCTTAGAAAGTACTCCTCATTGAAGCCCCCAATGAGTCTTTTCATCTCTATGTTGAGAGGTCTAGACCTTTGAGCTTCTGTCTGTTGGCCCATGACTGTTACCTGCCCTTCTTCCTTTCCAGAGACAGTATGCAAGACAGGTATGGTGCTGCTGTGTGGGGAGATCACCTCAGTGGCCATGGTTGACTACCAGCGGGTGGTGAGAGACACCATCAAGTACATTGGCTATGATGACTCTGCCAAGGGTGAGCATGGGCTTGCTGCATCTGTGTGCTTGTAGGTCTCTACTGAGTACTTCTGTTTCCCATAGGGAGTCAAATCTGATCCTTCAGTTTTAGAGAAATACAAATTCTGTCAGGTAAACAGCCCTTAACTCATCTGGTTCTGTGGAGGACTGCAGCTGGTGGGGCCAGCATGTATCCATCCACTATTGACAAGCCTCATTTAAGGTCCTGCCTTCCTGGTGTTGGCAGCTCCTAATGAAGGGAGTTGCCCTCTAGTGACACCATGTTCCATGCCAAGCACAGGTGCCAGTGTCTGTATATGTCATCTGACTTCATCATTCCGGAACCCCTGGTGTGTTTCTTATGCAAATGAGGGTATTCTGGCTTAGAGTATAAATACAGTGAGATGCCACCAGAGCAGGTAGGTGCTCCTGTACTTTCTACTGAGCCACACTGCATTTCACTATAGATGCAGAGAATGAAGACTCATTTTCAAGCACCTGGGCCTGGTCACAGGTGAAGGAGACAGGGAAACCCAGGTTAGCACCCATGCCAGGTGATGTAGGAGCTGAGACCTAGGGACGAGGTACAGGCCAGGCAAGGAAGTAAGGGGATGAGGAAGTACCAGGTAATACAAGCAGAACTGAGGGCTTTTCAGCAGATGTCACTGCTTAATGCCTGGGCAGGCCAGGAAACCACCCAGCCTGGGAGTACATCAGAAGACCCAGGGCATGCGCATCTGTTTGCAAAGATGTTTTGGTAGAGCTTCCAGTGCCCGTTATCCACACCAGCTTCCTGGATCCGGCTCTGACCCGAATTCTTAAAGCTTCCACTATATTCTCTAGCAGTAGATATTCATATTATTTCAGTTTTAATTTTTTTTAGATTTATTTATTTAAAGAAAAATTCCACTTGAGTTTCTGTTGGCCTTCTCTCAATTCCCAGAGGTCACTGTGAGAAATGTGTTGACCTTGGACAATCACAAGAAAGCTCACTTCTTGGGGGTTGGAGGTATTTTTAGAATGGCTGGGAAGAGAAAGAGTGCATGCAAGTTAATTTTCCTACTTAGGATGTAAGGGCTTCATAGAAGAAACTTATGGTCCCAGAGAACAGCATCTTGAGATCATACTCTAAGAAATCAAATTTATTTATTTATACAAATTTAGACCTTATTCAAGACCAAACTTTGCTTTAGATAGCAAAGAAAATTTCCATGTTCTTTAGAAAAGGCCAAGTGAAAGAGCACCACTCTGACTGAATTGTGCTTGGTTAACCCTAGGAAGATATATTATTTAGAGTCAATGATTAGGCAAAAAGGAAAAAAGTCTTAATACACAGAGCCCTTTGGCACCTCTCTAAAGACTATTCATTGATTTCTACATCAAAAACATCCACTGGGGGATGGTGGGGGTGAGGGGAGGCAAAGGGCAAACCACGTTTAGGGTAGAGGTACTGCTTGGCCTCAGATGACGCACTGTGAGGTGTACTATGTGAATCTATTTTCATCTTATGCAATAAGGGAGTGGAATTGCAGGAGTAAAATGTCCACGGATGCTAACTAGGAGCCAGTGAAGTTTGAGTGTGTGGGGAGGGGCCAGAGAAGAAACATTCTATCCAGAGATACCTAGGGGAGGTGGTAAAGTACTTAGCACTAGCCCTAAGTTTGTTGTCTAAAGGAGTTCTGGCTCCATGACAGGGGTTGCTGTTAGTGAGTTAGCACCTAGAATGCCAGAGGTGGACCCTCAACTCTGTGCTGCAGCTTTGAAGAAGGGGTCTGGGCCCCAGAGGTTTAACTTTTTTATTTGTCATAGGACCCTAGATCTAGGAATCTCACTAGATGGTTCACACACATGGTGCTTATTATTCAGGATGTGTGTATATAGTAAATACACACACACACACACACACACACACACACACACACACACATATATGAGCAAGGCATATAGTTGGGATTCTAATGACAACATTGGAAAGACCCTTGATTTTCAATCAGTGCAGGGATTGAAAATCCTTCCCTCTCTTTCCTTCCCCCATCCCTCAGTCCTCCATCCTTCCATTTCTTTCTTCCTCTCCTTTCCTCTCCCTCAGACAGGGTTTAATGTAGCCCAGATTGGCCCAAAACTCCATATGCAGCCAAGGATGGCCTCCTGCCTTCACTTCAAAAGTGCTGGGGTTAAGCTGGGCGGTGGTGGCACACGCCTTTAATCCCAGCACTCGGGAGGCAGAGGCAGGCGGATCTCTGTGAGTTCAAGGCCAGCTTGGGCTACCAAGTGAGTTCCAGGAAAGGCGCAAAGCTACACAGAGAAACCCTGTTTCAAAAAACCAAAAAAAAAAAAAAAAAAAAAAGAAGTGCTGGGGTTACAAGCAGGCACCACCATGCCCTACTAGTGCTATGATTTTCAAATGGGATTCTGGAGGGTTCCTCTGGGATATCTAGAGATATCCAGTCAGAGTGTCCTGGGTGCTGTCTGGCTTGTTTTGTTGTGGGTTGCCATATTTCTATGTAGGGTATACTTTTTTTAACCAAGGTATAATTGAATACAATAAAATATATCATGAAGAATCTTCTCTTTTGAAAGAGTTCTACACGACCATGGAAAAGAATATAAGGTCTTTCAACAACCTGGGCCTCAGCTCTGAATCAGAGGCTACCCCCCAACACTAAATGCAACATCAGTGATTGAGAAGTCCACCAAGAGACTTACAGTCCTGTCTTGACACATGTTCCCACTTGGCTTGCTTCTGCCCAGGCTTCGACTTCAAGACCTGCAATGTGCTAGTAGCTTTGGAGCAACAGTCCCCAGATATTGCCCAATGTGTCCATCTAGATAGAAATGAAGAGGATGTTGGTGCAGGAGATCAGGTATGTCAACTGTGTGAGGGGTGGACCAGTGTGGTTTGCTTGGACTGCGCTATGGTCCATGAGAAGAAGCAAGCTGGGCTAATTACACTGTTGGGTGGTCTCATCACTATATAGATCTGGGAAGGATCACACCCGCAGTAAGTTGAGCACTGATTGCGACATGGCAATACTGTCAGACTGTGCGGTAGAAGATTGTGCTTGCTAACGACAGCTGTTGGCTTGTCTCCTCCTTCCAGAGTGTTTGGGGTCAGAGGCAGTCTTCCCATTCTAAAATGCACAGTACAAAGTGTTCTGTAGGGGGTACCCCTCATAATTGTTGAAGCATCAAACAAAATATGAGACTTGTAGAATGTTACTGCTCTGAGCTCTAAGGCAGGTGTCCTACTCCAGGGTCTAATGTTCGGCTATGCCACAGATGAGACAGAAGAATGCATGCCCCTCACCATTATTCTCGCTCACAAACTCAACACCCGGATGGCAGATCTAAGGCGCTCTGGTGTCCTTCCCTGGCTGAGACCTGATTCTAAAACTCAGGTGAGTTGCATCCATCACCTCCTGCAGACATCCCTACAGAAACTTCAAGTACACCAAATCATTTTGGTTCTGGCAATATTTATTTTGTTTTAAATTCATTCCTTTACAGTTTCACAACACACACACACACACACACACACACACACACACACACACACACAATGTGCTTGATTATGTGCCCTGTTATCCTCCCTTTTCTCCCTCCAACTTCCATTAAGGCCCTTCTTTTTTTCTAACAAGTCTTTCCTCTCACTGTTATGTTTTTATTTGTGCGTGTAACCTACTGCATTTAATTACAGCTGCTTGTATGACCACGAGTAGGGGGTTACTTACTTGAATAAAGGTAACTTACCATTTATTGCCTATAGCTCCTCAGGAAGAGTGAGGTGTTATGTATGAGCTTGTCCTCTAACTATAATGAAATGTTGATAGGCCCAGCCTTGGGCAGATGTCATGCAGATAGCCAAAGCTGCTGTGGATTCATGAGTACGATGCCATGTCATATCCAGAAAACAGCATTTCACAGCTCTCCTTCCCATCTTCTGGCTCTTCTCCTGTTCTCTCCACCTCCTCATGCACCCTGTTCCCTGGACTTTCAAGAGGGTGATAGAGACATTCCACTCAGGGACAGGCACTCAGCAATCACTTACTCTCAGCACTTGGAACAGCTGTGTCTTTGTATTGTCATTACCTGTTGTAGACAGCATCTTCTAGAACCAAGGCTCATACATCAGCAGTTTAAGGATATAAATCTAAATATTTAGAAGGTATCATGTCTATTTAGTAAAGCAACAGGATTAGGTCCCTCCTAGGGCCTATGCTCTCCCCAGCCATGGGCTTTTGACCAGGTTTTCAGTACCAGGCATGAATTCCCTCCTGTGGAGGGAGCCTCAAATCTAATTAGAAACTGGTCAATTACACCTTGATCACGCTATTTTTAAGATGAAAATATTTTATTTAGGTACTCCATTTTGAAAAGAATCACTATTTGAAAACTCTTTCAGGCTAAACGTACTTTCCATCCTTACCCTCATTAAATTTTTATTATAAAAATATTTTAGCCGGGCAGTGGTGACACATGCCTTTAATCCCAGTGCTCGGGAGGCAGAGGCAGGTGCATCTCTGTGAGTTCGAGGCCAGCCTGGTCTACAAAGTGAGTTCCAGGAAAGGCTCAAAGCTACACAGAGAAACCCTGTCTCGAAAAACCAATATATATAAAACCAATATATATATATATATATATATATATATATATATATATATATATATTCAGACAAATTTAAAATGTAACTTTTATTTTTATTTATTTATTTTTTAACATGTGTAGACTCTGATGGTTCTTCAATTCCTACTGAAGACTTATGTCTTCACCAGTTTCAGTCCCTGTCTTTATGTGCACACAGGTCTGGTCTCCCCACCTTGAGCAGACTGTCTCTCTGGGGCCCCTTTCCGTGTCTTTACTTCTCATGAAAGGCTTTACCCTTGACGTGTCCAGTTCCAGCACTGTGGGCCCTGACCTTCCTCCTCCCAGTCGTGTTGAAATCTATTTTTATTTGAAGGACAATGATGATGCAAACATGAGCACACGTGGAGCTCCCCTATCATTTTTCAGTCCCCTGATGGCCCTTGGCCAATGGCTGCCTGCCCGGCTCCTGTTCCATGTTCCAAAGTGTGTTGCCCCAAGGTCTTGGCACATCTTCTCTCACATTCTCTCCCTCTCTTCACACACTTGGCTCATCAATCTTCCACTGTGGTCCCTCCAAAACAGCAGCCCCATTTCGTACTCACTTTGTGAGCTCATGTGCTGAGAACCTACCACATGCTGCTCACTGTCACCTTTCACTCAGCTGAGGACTGCACAGCCAGTTTCCTAGTCCTGCTTGGTGCCATCTGTCTCCATGGTACTGGTATCCTGGGTTTCCTCAGATGAGCATCCCTCTCACTGCAGCCCAGCCTTTCCTGGAGTGGTCCTCATTCCACCCAAGTCAGCAATAGCACTCTATGCCCCCAAAAGGTTCTCCCTGCTTAAGAACTGCAGTTAATTTTTCCTCTTCACCATCTCTTTGGAATTTTTTGTAAGTTTCTACTTCCTGTGAGAGGAGGGCAGAATTCCCTTGCCATCCCAGCTTTCAGACTTTTATAATATTTCCACAATAACTTTCCTCTGCCTGCCCCCTACCTCCACTTTACTGACATCATTCCACTTGGGTTAGCCTTGGATAATAGGGCTTACACTTCATCCTTCATCTTATTTGGGTTTTTTTTTCTGGGGACAGTGAAGCCCATATCCTTATGAATGTCACTTCTGACCCCCACTAGACAGTCTTTACCTATCCTGCACTTGTGATTGATATATAAGCTTTTATGACCCAGTGCAGTAAATGTGTCTGTGTCTAGTTACTCCAACCACCCAGATGCATCCTCCTCAGTGAGGTGGACATTGCACTAAGCAGAAGTCTCCCATTGTCTCCACCTAAGGCAAGTGAGTACGCATATGGCCCCAATAAAATGTTGTCTTGGGTCTTCCTGTGCTATTTATATGAATCTTAAGGTGAACTTGGGGTCACCAGCATCTCTTAGGTATTGTAGGATGTTATGGGACAGGAGAGCTAACATGTAGACTATCCTGGTACCAAAAGAAAGGGCCCAGACAAGACAACCCCAGAGCAGGGGTAGGAAGAAGGCAACAGGCCCCCTGAACTTTCCTACCCTCTGGTAAGAGAGGAACAGAGGGAATTCTTTGAGACCAGCTGTAGTAGAAAAGGCCTCACTCATTTCCCCTGCATAAGAAAGAGGTTTCCAAGTCTCAGTAGCACCAAGGAAGAGAGAATGGAGTCTAATAGGACTCCCCTTCCTGAGAGGATACATTGAGTCCCATAAGATGCCAATATTTATGCCTATCACAGGGGGTCATGAGCCTGCTCTAGTCAATAAGGATATGGGCCTGCTGGGGGCACTAAGGGGGGCCTCTCAGCTGGCCACTGGAAAGCCCCACTGCCTCCTTGGTCTGCCTCCATGATGTGCCAGGAGAGGAGCCAGCTTCTTCTATGGTCCTTTTGTAAAGGATTTCCACTGTCACCTGTGTTGACTGTGACCAGGATGAGTCTTTCCACCTGAGCAAATTGCTGCTGCTGATATTGAGAATCAGGGTTGGCAGTCCAGTGGCTATTTTTGTACCTGGTCAGAGCTCTGTTTCCATAGTGTATTTTTCCCCATATCTGCTGACATAGCAAGATAAGAGCAGAGCTTGGGCCCTTTACCCTGCTACCCCGTTCTAGGAGTTCTGCAGGGATACAGCATGGTATTTGCCTGGAAGGGATTGGAGACATCAGGGCTCAGTAGAAAACAGCCAGGTTGGAGCACTGCCTCAAGACTGAGCCTCTTCCCAAATCTACGTGAGGTGGTACTGATCCTTGAGTTTGCCTCCTCCTTGGGAATCCATATCCCCCACTCTAGCTCCCTTGTGTGGAGCCCATTATGTGAATAATTCCCATGTGTGGACACTGCAGGATTTAAGGGTTAGTCCTCAATGATTATGCACTTGCTCATCTCATGAGGGTCAGATAGCAGGTGGCCAGGGCTCTTTCTCTCACTTCCTCTAGATCTCACTCTGTTGCTTTTTGGACCAGCAGGACACAGACCAGAAGTCTGATATATAGCCCATTGGCTATACTTGATCTTAGCTAAAAGACTGAAAAGTGGTAGATATCTTTGGATGACTGTCTAAGGCACTTTGGGCAGGCAGAGTCCTTATTGCAGCACAGCCCCAGCAAAGCAGTGCTTGCTGTAGGGTTCTAACTGGGCTCTAGGATGGAAAACTGTTCTGTGACTGCCAGTCAGTCAGCCAGACCCCTACTTAGGTATTTGGCATAGGCACACTTCTGTAAGCATCCCATGCCCCTAAGGTCTGTAGATACTGCTCTGATGGGTACATATTGTCTCAGGCAGCATGGACCCTGTAGCCCAGCATATGGTTCATGGCCTTACATAGCAAGTTTCTGCTAGGCAGAGCCTTGGCTATAAATCTCTGAGTCACACCTCAGCAATCTTGTGTGCCATCTTGATCAAGGTGTTTACACTCTGGAACCTAAGCTTTGTTGTCTATAGAATGGGGCAATAATGGTTACCAATCTTTGGCATGGCTTCTAGCATGCAAAGCTTGTTCACCCATTGCTGCTTTCTCGACCATCCTCATCTGCGACCCCCACAATCCTTCCACTCTGCAAACCCAGTGGGTCCTACCCGCTTTTCTTTGCCACCTAAGATACCAGGTGTCTGTGCCCAGTGATGTGTCATTAGACCACTGGGTCTCTAGAGAGCATTTCGTCTGTGCTACAGTGGGAGTGACAAGCTTTGGTTCAGCCTGAGCAAGGTTTGGCTCTTGGACATTTCACAAACTGGCTGTGTGATGTCAGACAAGCTCTCGTCTCTTGGTTTATCTTGTGTATAAAGTCGGGGGGGGGGTCTTAGATGTCATGTCTTAGATCTTAATTGGTAATATACAGGATGGGCATAGAACTGGACATGGTGGAGGTGAGTGTTTTAGGGGTTTCCATGGCTTGCCCTGCCAGTACCTGGTAAGCAGGATCCTGACCCCCACCCAAGTGGACACCACTTTACTTTCTTTTGGCAAAGCCTCAAGACAATGGGGATTCGGAGCTTGCTGCCCTTCTAGCTTAACTGTCCTAACTAGAGACTATCAGCCTGTCCCTACAGCTGGCAGAGTTTGCTGGTTCCAATGCGCTTCCAGGATCCTTCACCGAGGGTAGAGGGCCATTTGCCAGGCTCCTCTGTCTCAGAGGCTCAATATATGCCAACAAATATAGCCTTGGTTAAAGATCCTTCTTGGTTTTTCACATTCTAGGACCAAGGTACCCTTGTCTCTGTCAATGACAAGTGGCCTGTGAATTCCTATGTTCACTCATAGAAGTGGAGGGGGTCCATGGGAAGTGGCAAGAGGGTTTTGGCTAGAGAGGGTCACTGGTACTAGCAGTCTCTGGGATAGAAGGAGAAGGGCCTGGTCATCAGTTGAAAGACAGTGCCATGTGTGTGTGCCTCATGCTGTCATCTGTAGTCCTGAGCAAATTAACAAATGTAAGCGTATGTCATATTAACTCTCCAAAGAGCCTTTAAAGACAAGGGGACTCACTTGGCCCCTCAGGAGCTCAACCTGCCTCCCGGGGATCTGTGGCCAGCAACCATGCAGCCTTAGCTCAGGCCTGGGCCTCACAGCGTCTCCCTCGATGGACAGGTGACAGTTCAGTACACGCAGGATAATGGCGCGGTCATCCCTGTGCGCATCCACACCATCGTCATTTCTGTACAACACAACGAAGACATAACCCTGGATGCCATGCGAGAGGCCCTGAAGGAGCAGGTGATCAAAGCTGTGGTGCCAGCCAAGTACCTGGATGAAAACACCATTTACCACCTGCAGCCAAGTGGGCGCTTCGTCATTGGAGGTCCCCAGGTGAGCATTAGTCTCTGGGGAAGGCCCTCTTGCTGGATCTTGATGACTAAACTGCTCGTGTCTCAGGAGACACTGATGGCAAGAGGTAGTTCCGTGTGACTTAGCAGCGTCTGCCCATGAACTAAATGCACTCGGTGAACTTTGGCCTACAGTGAAGACACTCTGGGTATCTGTTAATATGTAAAAAGGGGGACGTGTATATAGGAATCTCCACTTAGTGCTGTCAAGCCCTACCACGCAGGCATTCCAAATGCTATCATGCCTGTCCACAGCCACCATCACATCTCCTTACTTGGTCAGGCACCCACTCATCTCTGTAGTGCTTGCTAATGGCTGACTTTCCCAGGCTGTACTTGCTGAACATTTGCTGTGGGGGTCTCTAGCTATTATAGACAGGACAACAGAACCGGAGTTTTATAAAAGCAGATAGAGCTGTTGCCCCTTTCTCCTCTATGTACACAGAACTGGGGATATAAGGATTGGCAGAGCTGACTGTATTGTCCCAAGGCTGAGCCCCCATAACAGGTTCTGTGATCAGACAGTGTTGGTATTGGGCAGAAAGAAGGTTAAATTCCTTGTTTTCTTGAAGGATGATGTCTCAAAATCTAGATAGGTAAGTATAAAGTGTGGCTCTCTAAATAGGATTAGAGTAACTCACTGGATTCTCACCAAATTGTTAAAAATAGCTACCTTTCAAAGGGATTTCCTGAAGTGCTGTTGTACAGAGCACATTGTGAAATGAGCAACAGGCAGCCTTGGCCAGAACTGCAGCCCTAGGCTGTATTTATTGCAGTACAATTCCCACCACAGGTGGACTATTTCTTATGATGAACTCAAAAGGGAAGGTATGACCCCAGATGACCTCTGGCCCATCTCCTACACTTTCTAATGAGGCTTTGACTGGTTGCCTGATTCCCATAGCTGGTCAGTACCAGAACTGGGACAAGAGCTGTTGATTTCTGCCTGATTTAAAGGGGCCTTTGAGAATGTCCGCAGGTGACTCAGGGCATCTTCTCTGAGGGCTTCTGCCCCATCCAGCATTTAGAGCCACTGGTTCTCATCTCTTTTCCATTTGTTTCCCTCTACAGGGGGACGCAGGTGTCACAGGCCGCAAGATTATTGTGGACACATATGGAGGCTGGGGTGCTCACGGTGGTGGTGCCTTCTCGGGAAAGGACTACACCAAGGTGGACCGCTCAGCAGCTTATGCTGCCCGCTGGGTGGCCAAGTCCCTGGTAAAGGCTGGGCTCTGCCGGAGAGTACTTGTTCAGGTAGGTGGACCCCATCTTGTCCTTGCTGAAGGCCCCAGCCCCACCTGGAGTTAGGAGATACTGGCTCAGTGGGAAGGCCCCCTCTTCGCCATTGGCTGCAACTATGCATATATTGCATTGGCCACCATGGCTGGCCCTGGAAAACTAGGGAAGGAGAGAACACACCCGAAGACGGAAGGGCTGCCAGACAGGAGAGTTAGGGGTCCTGTTAGCAGAAGAAGTGTGGTCCCTGCTGCTCTGCTCTGTGAAATCTCTCTGAGGGCCTCAGCCCCTGACCCAGATCTTTCTGGAAGGTGTCCTATGCCATTGGTGTGGCAGAACCACTGTCCATTTCCATCTTCACCTATGGGACCTCCAAGAAGACCGAGCGGGAACTGCTAGAGGTGGTGAACAGGAACTTCGACCTCCGGCCCGGTGTTATTGTTAGGTAAGTGCTGTCGTGCTGCCGTCACATGGGACCTTGCCACTCCTACACCCAGGTGGACACCTGAGCAGAAAAGGATTTGCAGTCTCTTACAACAGGAGGGTCTCAAGTCCTGGCCCCTCAGCACAGTTCCTGGCCCTGAGGATAGTTCATGACCCCAACTTGGGGTATCTGGCTTTCTCTCTCTTTCTTTCTTTCTTTCTTTCTTTCTTTCTTTCTTTCTTTCTTTCTTTCTTTCTTTCTTTCTTTCTTTCTTTCTTTCTTTCTTTCTT